ATTCTGCACTTCTTTTTCGTGTTCCCTGAAAAAAACAACGGTTAAGGACAATGTTTGCAGGGAAGCAGAAAGAACTCAAAATCATCCTGGCTCCTCCCTTTCTTCTGTCAATAAAAAAAAGCCCTTGCTTGGGATACTGAAGGCTCAGCTCCTCTCTGAGCAATGGCTGGGAGGTTTCCTTGACGCCTAACAACATGCTTACAGGCTCTGAGCACACCACTTACTTGAATCCACACTCTTCCAGGCACACACCACGCTGATGTGCAGCCAAAGAGCCCCAAGAATTGCCCAGAAACCCGGGGACCGGCACGGTCCAACCCGCCTCATGTGGCACCTCAACCATTTACCCTGTGGGACCGGCATGGGTCACTGGAAGACTTTGGCCACAAATGTGATGCAATGCAAGAAAAAAGAACTACAAAATGAGGAAAAAGTTATAAAAATCCTGGCCTTAGAACAAGAACAGGTATCTGGACATCAGGGTACCCAGCTGGCTCAGCAGCAGGTGTCTGCCCTGATTTACCAGAGCAGAGGTGAAAGGAAAGACAAACTCTCTCGTAAGCAGCATGGGACTGAACTGCACGGACAGCTGAAATCCATTTACCAGATTGCTTGTAGAGACAAAACTCCTTGCCATGCAGGTCCTTCCTGCTGGTTATCCCAGTCCCAGTCCCTTTGTCCCACTGGTTCCAGTCACAGGCCTTCCAGAGAGGCATCAAGTTTTGTGATGCTGCTCCCCAGAGCAGCTCCCTGCTCTGCTCGGACCCGGGGAACCGCGGCAGGCTGCACACAGCATCCCTGTTGGCATCCCTGTTTGCTGCAAGAACATCCCCACAGCAAGAAGTTTTCAACGGTCAGTGATGGACGGCATGGAGGAAGAGCTATTGAATCAGTGGCTCTTCGAATTCATGGTAAAATCTGCATTTTTTTTTCTGGTAAAATGTGATCAGACAGAAGCATCTGCCCTGTCCCCACTACACCTTGCCTTACTTCGACCTGCATGGCCTTTCTGCTCATGGCAGCCCGGCTTTGGAAAAGCAAACGCACCCCCTGCAAACTCATCGAGTTCTCTCCTTCGCTGGGCTCATTCCTCCTGTCCTGCACTGCCCAGTCTGGAGGCCACACAAAGCCCGGAGGGATCGTGTGGGCAGTTTTTTCAGGTCACTACCCTATTTTGTAGTTCCCTGTTTAAAAAGGGCGGCATTAAGCTGTAACGCATGTGGCTAATTAAACACCGTGCTGCCTGCACTAACCGCCAGCTTCCATTCTTGAAAAAAAAAAAAATGGATCCAGAATCGAGTTATAATTAAATCCTACCATAAAGTTTAATGATTTTTATTAATAGGGAGACAAAATATTTGGCAGCGCTGTGATCACCGTGGCCAGCTGCCTGCTTTCTAGCCCTGTGCGTGATCCCTGGTGTGTGGCTGCAGAAAAATCGCGGGTTCCAGCTCTGCTCGGGGCAGTGGCCCCCGGCCCTCAGAGACGACACCATTTTCTCCCACGCGTTACTTCCCCACCCTCTCACAGCTGCGCTCTCCAGAAGCACATTCTGGTGCCTCCCAAGCCCACTGTCTCCGCAGCCCCCAGCGCCCTGTCTCCCCCCTGGGACCTGCAGTCACCCCCG